TTCATGTCCATTATGGAAAAACCCACTATTCACAGCGGGAGGTAACCCATTGAATAATATACATATGCAAGCACATGACATATAACACATTGGGCAAATAGTAAAAAACAATATCATAATTCCATTCACAGTGTTGTTGGACAATTTTAATCTGAATCAATCCCTCTTCTTCTCCTTTATACAATTACAATCAAATATTAAATACTTGACATCAAAAGGTATAAAGATAGGTTGTCATGAACACATATGAACCTAAAAAGACTTGCAAACGAGAAAGGAATGATTTCAGGTATTTATTGTGCACCTTGGAGGTGAAGTGCAGGCATATTGTCATTCAAGAGAGAATANTCGGGTCGCGGAGGTAGCAGTTCTTTCGGTCGTGACCCATCTTTCATGACGGCAAAGCTCTCTGTCTACCGCGCCATTTTCGTTCCTACCCTCACCTAGGGTCATGAAAGATGGGTCACGACCGAAAGAACTGCTACCTCCGCGACCCGACCACGGATAAGCGGGAGAAGATGGATGGATGGATGGATGGGTTACCGCCCGCTGTGAATAGTGGGTTTTTCCATAATGGGCATGAAGGGAGGGAAATACCAGTGATGCCTACCTCCTTTCTACAGATTTAACCACACTGATAGAACATTGAATTAATGGATTATTCAGACTGGATTTGGGGGAGTACCATAATGAATTTAAAGATTTTTGATTTATTGTTTTCTGTAATTATTTGTCCTTCCAGCCAATCCCAGTTAGCTTTTTTCGGTGTCGCTCAGGGAATCTGGCATCATATGAGAGATAATATAAGTATAAATTGGGTAACCCCAGTCCACCTGTTCTCCTCGGCATAAACAACTTTTTATGGTTAATTCGTGGTTTTGTATCCTTCCATATGAATTGAGAGAATATAGTGTTTATTGCTTTAAACCAATATTGTGGGATTTGAAAGGGAGTTGAGGATATTATATAGGTCAATCTTTGTAGGACATTCATTTTTAACACATCCACCCTTCCCCACAGCGATAGGGGTAAAGAAGTCCATCTTCTCAAGTCATCTTTAATAGTTCTAAGTAAGCCTGGACCATTCATTTAGAAAATATTGTTAATTGGTGATCTGATGTTTATGCCCAAGTATCTCAATCCATCAGCTTTCCAAACAAATGAAGCAGAGCCTGTGATTAGAGTGAGTCTGACAGTTTAGTGGCATGGCTTAACTTTTACTCCAATTTATTTTATATCCTGAAAATAAGCTAAATTCTCGAATAACCTCCAGCACCTTAGGTATAGAGTTTAGTGGGTCAACTAATGTGAAAAGGATATTATCAGCGCATACGTTTTATTTTGAACTGATGTCCGGATGGCACAAGCCAAGGGCTCGAGAGCTAAAATGAATATTAGAGGGGATATTGGACATCCCTGCCGTGTTCCCCGATGCTGGGGGAAAGGATCAGAAAGCATGTTGTTGCTTCTGACTGAAGAGACTGGCTTATTGTAAAGTGATTCAAACCATCGCATACAGTAATGTAATGTGATCTCTGTTCTGTATCTTTGACCGATTGACCTGAATGTTTTATGTGTATTATCTCAATGCCCAAGACATAATTTCTCCTAAGGGAGACAATAAAGCTCTATCTTAATCCTCATCCTCTCCCTGGCTGTCTCAGACTTCATTGTGGGCGTCCTTTTGATGCCTGTTGAAATCCTTTTAACAGAGGCTTGCTGGTACTTGGGTGACCTGACGTGTGCTCTGTATAAAATAGTTACTTTTACCATTGTATCTGCTACTGTCGGAAACATGGTGCTCATATCCATTGATCGTTATTTTGCTTTATGTGACCCTCTACATTACACCACCAGATTAACTCTGAACAGAACACAAATCTGCATCTGTCTGTGTTGGATTTGCTCTGTTATCTATAATTGTCTATTTTTAAAGGAGTCAACCTGATTCACATAATTCTTGCCATGGAGAGTGTGTAGTTGTCCTTAAGAATATCACAGGGGCTGTTGACTTTGTCGTTACCTTTATTTCCCCGATTACTGTTATCATAGTTCTGTATATGAGAGTGTTTGTGGTGGCTGTGTCTCAGGCTCGAGCCATGCGATCTCATGTTATAGCTGTCACTATGCAACGTTCAGTTGGTGCAACTGTTAAGAAATCTGAGATGAAAGCAGCCAGGACTCTTGGTGTTGTTGTCCTCAAGGCCGGATTAACCATATGGGCAACCTGGGCAAGTGCCCAGGGGCCCTTGAGCAAAGAGGGCCCTCAGTGACAAGATAAGATTTTTTTTTTTTCTTTTCGGGCACAACCTCACTCATCATACAGTTTTAAATGACACTCACTCTTCGCCATAAATAACACAGCTTTTCCATAGGATCAAATGACTGTAGGCCACTGTACTGTAGGTCTCACTATGTATGCACTCAACTTTATTACTACGCGGCGGCGGTGTATAGCCGAATCACAGCCCCACCCTTGAGCAACCACACAATTTCACTACATATTTTACTTTTGTAACTCTCGATGTTTGTGACAAATAGAACTCCTGGTGTACTTGTACAGCCAGCCAGTCATATTTTGGCATTAAGTGGGGTGCTGTTCTGAGGTTTTGATTGATATTACCTAGGTCTTCTTGAGACATACACTGTCATGATCGGATCTGCGGTTGGAGGTTGATATAGACGAAGAATTATTATCGTAGTATTTCTTTGTGGCATAACAGATGACTTGACGACAATGATAATTTAAACAGATGATGAATGCGTAAAATTTTTCACATTACCTACAACCCTTAAAGTAATTATGCTCCACCGACTTAAACCGCCTAAAAATTCGACGAAGAGGTTAAGGAGTGGATATTCTCCCGTCACAAATTATACCTTTTTTGTATAATCCTTTGTGTTCCCGGTTGGTTTCGGCCCTAATCCATGGAGGTCCCGGGACCCGTGGACTCGTGAGGTAACGGGGGTCGGGTTGGGTGCATGGTTGTCATTGTGGTGCGGAAGTTAGGATGGTTGCTAAACTGGTTATAAATTTAAAAGTCAGTTAGACCGTACCAAGTTTAGCGGGTGGATAAACAGTTTTCGATCCCTGCGTCGGGTGTATCGAACGAGTTTCAATCTAGATCCGGAAAACCGGGCGAAAGTCCAGTTTTTAGTGTTCTGTTTCTCAGTTAC